GTGCTCTACTCACTGAGCCAACCGGGAGCCCCGAGAATGCTATTATTTACAGGTATGTGTTTGCATTTAGGAATATGTAACAAAAGCTTTTTTTTAATTTCTTTTTTAACATTTTATTTATTTTTGAGAGACTGAGCACAAGCAGGGGAGGGGCAGAGAAAAGACAGAGACAGAATCTGAAGCAGGCTCCAGGCTCCGAGCTGTTAGTACAGAGCCTGATGCGGGGCTCGAACCCACAAACTGTGAGATCATGACCTGAACCCACGAACCTGTGAGATCATGACCTGAACCAAAGTCAGAGGGTTAACTGACTGAGCCACCCAGGCACCCCTGTAGCAAAAGTTTTAAAAAAGTAACTACCCTGGGTGCCTGGGTGACGCAGTCGGTTAAGCCTCTGACTTTGACTCATGATCTCACAGCTCATAAGTTTGAGCCCCGCTCCAGGTGAGCCCTGCTTCTCTCTCTCTCTCTCCCTCTCCCTCTCCCTCTCTCACTTGTACCCTCTCTCTCAAAAAAACAACAAAAAAAAAGTAAATACCCTTTTACTTACTCGTCTCATTTTTAGTTTTACCTTGAGCAATTCATAAATATATGCACAAAGTACATGTATAGAATGTTCACTTCAGCAGTGCTTCTACCAGGAAACTCTTGGTAATAACCTAAGCCCAATGACAGGGGATTTGAGTGAATGCATTGTGGTATGTCTTTGTGATGAAATAATTAACAGCCGGTGAATGTATGGAACGCTTACCATATGCCAGGCATTGTGTGAGAAGACATATACTACTTCATCTAATCCTCATCGTGGCTCCATGAATGAGGCACGACTACAATCTCCATTTTACAGATGAGGAAGCAAAGACACAGACATATGCACAGATACATGAAATGGTAGAGGCAGGATTTGAATCCAGACCTGTCTGACACCAAAGCCTGCACTAGCCACAGTTAAGCTGCAATGCTCAGGGCTCCCGGACACGGCCATGCAGTTTGCACACTGCACAAGTACCCAATGGCCGGGCCTGAAGTCTAATTGACTCAGCGCTGCAAGCCAGGTTCTTCCTCCGCCCAGAGCAAGGCACCTTTCCTGATGCATACCAAGCACTGGATGGGCTAGCTGGAGTCAGGCAGGTGCCTCCTACCTGTCATATGCACAGTTGGTGCTCTCCTTGACTGTGGTGTCCTCTTGGTCCCCTATCAGCCAAACAAACCCGGGGTCAGTCCTCAAGCGGATGTTTTTCCAGGCCTTCTTGGGCACATAGCTACAGCCGGCATTGAAGTCACCCATGAAAATGAAATTCTGAAAGACATTATTTGGAACCGTCACCTTGTGTGTATTATTGCCAATGCTTTTGCTCAGAACTGCTAGCAATGGCCCCACCTCCCATACTCAGCAAACAACGGGGTCTGTTATGGCTAAATTGTGCCCTCCCCCACCCCTACAAATTCGTATGTTGAAGTCCTAACACACGATACCTTAGAATGTGACTGTATCTGGAGAAAGGCCTTCAAAGAGGTGACTAAGGTAAAATGAGGTTATAGGGGTGGCCCCTAATCCAATATGGCCGGTGTCCTCATAAAAAGAGATTGGGACACACAGAGACATGGACGGAAGACCGTGGACAGAAGCCTCAGGAGAAACCAACCCTGTTGACACCTTGACCTTAGACATCCAGCTTCTAGGGTTGTGAGGGTATACATTTCTGTTGTTTAAGTCACCCAGTCTTTGGCTGCACTTGGCAAAGTAATGTAAGGTCTTTTTCTTTCTTTCTTTTTTTTTTTTTTTAGAGTTTAAAACTGAGTCACAGTTTTGATGAGTATTTGTCAGGGGAGAACGTACAAGGGAAGGTGTTCTCACTGGGAAGGAGGATGTTTGCTGTGGCCCTTCCCTCCTGCTCTTAGTCACTGTGTCCCTCTAATTCAGCTTGTGGAGTTAGGTGGGGATCAAAGAATCCAGCTCATTTATTTCCCTCAAATCTCTCTGGCTCAAACTACTGTAGAGGATAAACATATGGATGTATCAATGCCTTTTGTTTCCGAGCAGGACAGATGAATTTGGGTGGCTAATTTGACACCTTTGGCACCCTGCTTTTCTGTCCTATTGTTTGGAAGTTGGGAACTCACTCCTGTGGAAATTCTGTCTACTGAGGAAGTAGGAAGAGCCTGAAAGGAAGGAGGTGACAGAGTGAGTTGTCCACCCCTGCCCCGAGGCCACCAGCAGCACCTCCTGTCTTAGAAGTGTTTTTCCCTTCAGAGCTCTTGGAACAGAATTTTAATATTCCTCAATCCAGAGGAAGTGTCGGATTTCCTTGCTGGTGCTGTTGTTTGGGGCTGTTGCTGACTTTAGAGTTTTCTTCAAAAACATTTTATTTTGACCTCAGAGACCATGGTTTTCCCTGAGATTGATGGGCGCGGCCGAGGTCAGAATGTCATCCTTAACCCGAGTGATCACCAGCTCCTATTGTTATAGGCATGATTTGCTGAGCATGTACTGCCTGTCAGGCCAAGCATTAAATGTTTCATAAAATTTAAATTAAATCTCACAATAAACACTAGAAGGTAGAAGGGAAACAGGATAGAGGGATAAAGTGACCAGTTCTAGGCCACTCAACTTATGGGCTCAAGTGGTAAAGTCAAGAATTAAATCCTGATCTGCCTCACTGAAGGGCCCTCAGCACAAGACGGCCCTCTTGTTCACTCTTGTGCCACCGATGTCTCCCTAGTGCCTGACATGTAATGGATGCTCAGTAAATTCTTGTTGTGTGAATGAATGAATTCAGAATTTTAGGAATGAATGAGTCTTTCTCTTGTCTTGCTTTTTACAAATAAGCAATGACTTACACACCTGGTGCTCTCCATGTCCTAGCTCTGTGTCCACACTTTCCTTGACTCATTTTGCAGTTTGAACAGTGGAACTGAGGAGGGGGGAAGGGGAGGTCACTGGAGTCACATCCCAAAAGGAGGAAAGAGGAATGAGGAAGAGCCCTCTGGAACACTTCCATATTTGCCAAGAGCTTTCACAGGCCCTCATAGCCACAGCGGGTGACATCCCCATTTTCCAGATGAGGCCGAGACGGATGGTGGATGTATTCCCTTTCTGTGAGAATAGCACCCCTTGATTATTTGGGAAACTACTTTCCTCCTTCACCCCAGTCTGTGAGATTGGGCTGAAGCTCACACTGATTTAACAAATCAGAGCTTCTTAACCAGAGCTGATCGCAGTGGTTGGTTCAGGGATGGATGAATGACCCAATCAGGGCCAGTGGGACCCAATCCTGAGAAACTTATTGTATTATGACACAGAAAATCTGTCTCAGACCACTGGGTCTGGAAGCTGCTGGTGGCCATCTTCCCTTCCCAAGGGTGGAGCCCACCCAGAGGAAAGGAAGGCAAAGAGATGGAAAGAAACAGACAAGCCAAGCCCTGATTACCTTGTCTGAGCCCTGGATCCAGCTATGCCTGAACTACTTCTGGACATTTTAGTCACATAAACCAATAAATTGCTCTTCCTTTCATGAACCAATTTGAGAGTCATCACCTGCAGTGAAGGACTCTTGATCCCTCTGTGTCTCACTGTTCTCATCGCAGAGTGAGAATGAGAAAGGTAGTTACTTCACGGGGTTATTGGGAGGATTAAATCAACCTGTGCATGTTCAGCCTCAGTGTGGCCTGGCAATAGCTATTCACCCAGTGATTTTGCGCAGCCATTATTGGGGGAGCAGTGTACGAATTGCTGAGACCCACGTGGACAGTACCCAGGCAAATTTAGCAAGAAGGGTATTTAAGGCAGAGGTAAGGCCTAAAATGAGGCTCTAAAATAGTGGGGGTCTGCACAGGTCCTGCCCCACCCCCCATCCTCCTGGGGAGTCCCTCATCCCTCCCCAGAACCACATTCTGCCTCTGCTAGACAGGAATTCAACAGACACAGAGGGTCATCACCTCCGCCTTCCAGCGATGTTTCATATCCGTGTAGACATCAGCCAGCTCATCAATCTCTTTAACGGAGGTCTCAGGGGTGGTGTGCAGGGGGACAATCACGAAGTCCTTGACAACTGAGGAACAGGAAAGAGGCGGAGGTCACACACTTCCCTGAACAGAGGAAGGTTCCATGAACACTGCTGAAGGGAAACAGACTGTCCCCCTAGAAGGCCCAGCCTGCATTGTCTGGGTCCCCTCATTTCTAGAGGGTCCAGCCGGTGGCTGAGATGTGCCTGTTCTTAGGACGATTAGGCCGGCATTTTCAGTACATGAAAGCCTCTTTTCTCCCACTCACCTGCAGAGCTAAGAGAAAGCCAGTAGACAGTACTGCTTGCTGGTATTGTGGGTGTTTTTATTTTCTCATTTTTTGAAAAATTATATTCTCTACTTTTTAAAAACTAATAAGTCAAGCCTGTTTGGCTTTTGTACTAAAGAAAAAAGTTTTTTCTAATTAAAAAAAAAAAAAGGAGGCTTGTCAGTTTATGCTTCTTTTGTAATCAGGAAAAAAAAACCCCAAACATTATTTAAAAAAGAAAGTGGTCTTTTGTGAAATATCTGAAAACCTCCCCCCACCGGGAGGGACAGAGGGAGCCTTGGAACTGAGCCTCGCCCACCTGGCAATGGAGCTGTTGTGCTCTGAATGCCTCTTCCCCCGGCTTTCCCTTGTCCTGTGCCTGGGTCCCCAGGCCTACTAGGGAGCTAGGGGCTGTTGGGAATCACTGCTCAGGTCACACAATGGAAAGTCAGGACTCAGAGCCTGCAGCCTGTCTCCAGGACCCTGCACTTACCCGCCAGCCTTATTTCTCACTCTTCTCAGGCCTCCGCTCCACCCCCCATCCTCTCTCTGGTCTCCCTACACATCCCAACTCCTTTCCACCTCTGAGCTTACTGGCACCTCCCCTCAGAATGGCCCTTTCCCCAGGCTTCTGTGACTGGCTTCTTCAGGTCACAACCCATGTCACCTAAATTGGGTTGGTCCCTCACCCCACTATGGAATGCACCCTGCTTGTACTTCCTTCATGCCCTGAGATTACTTGCTGTGCTTCTGAGTTTGGCCCACTGGAACCTGAGTTCTGTCTTGCTCACCCTCTTGGCTCCAGCACCTAGCACAGCACCTGGCACATGGGAGATGCTCAAAACTGTTGATTGAATACATAAATGAATGAATGAGTAAATGAATAAAAGGGAAAAAAGATAGATGAATGGCTAACTCTATCTTTAATCTCAAATACAGGGGACATAATGTTTCCTTGTACAAGATAGAAAATTCCAAACAGGAGGGCTCCTGGGTGGCTCAGTCGGTTAAGCGTCCAACTCTTGGTCTCAGCTCAGGCCATGATCTCATGGTTTGTGAGTTCAAGCCCTGCGTTGGGCTCTGCGCTGCCAGCACAGAGCAGAGCCTGCTTGGGATTCTGTCTCTAGGTCTCTCTGCCTTCCCCATCCATGCCCCTCCCCCTCGCTCTCTCAAAATAAATAAATTTAAAAAAATTCTAAACAGGGCATGGCTGAAGTGCCATCCTAGGGGAGGAGAGATAGAGAAGGGTGAAAAGGTGGAGGCCCAAGACAAACAGATTTGTTTAGCAATGTTTAGCTGTGTGTAGCTGAAGACTCTCTCGGAGAAGAAATAATCACTTGGGGCGGGGGGCAGGGTGCTCTCCAAACACTGCTCTGGTCAGCTAAGTGTGAATTGTGTGCACGATGAAGCTATTACACATGCTCTCTGACGTGCATTTCTGTCCTAAATAGCCCCCAGATCCTTCTCTTCTTCTACTGGAAATTCCTCCACCTTTCTTCCATGTTGGTTTTCCTGAAGTACTAATTAGCCAGGGTGGGAATAGTTAACTTCATCGTTCAGGGTGTTTATATTTGTGTAGTATAAATTTGGGGGTACATGCTCACATACATTTATTTATTTGGTCATTATCTGTCTTGCCTACTACAACATAACTTCACTAGGGCAGGGGCTTTGTCTGCCTTGGTCAGTGCCTGGAACAGACCATGGCACGTCGTAGGTACTGAAAAGATATTGGATTCTATATAGCTTCAATCTGCAAATCAAATTAATTCTTGACTTTCCATTTCAAGATGCACTGTGGTTAAGAGTATGTGCTCCCAAGATAGTGGCTTGGGTTACAGCCCTGCTCATTCATGTCAAGAGCTGCTGGGTGACCTTGGACAAGTGACTCCACCTATTTGAACCTTGGCTTCTTCAAATGTAGAAGTGGAGACAATCCTAGGTCTCAACCTGCAGGGTGTTGCAAGGTTGCAGGAACCTGGCACTAATCAGGGATCAATACTTGTTAGTGGCTTATATAAGTGTAGTTGTCGTCAAAGTTAAGGGAGCAATCATTTGGATTTCCCCTCTATACCCAGTCCTTGGAGGACTTTGCCATGTCATTACTAGAGGCAGAGGGAGACTTTAGTTTGGGGTTCATTTCTGCTGGCCACCACTGCGATTTTTCAGAATGAAGCTATACTTGACTGCAACTCAAGAATTGCAGTAAATAATTTCCATCAGCCTAACTGCTCCAACAAGAGTGGAGTTACCACTGACTTCAGGTGCATTCTAAGGGAGGAGGTCTTGGCATTCTGAGAAGCCAGGCTGCATCCCTAACACTCAAGTATCAGACATTCTCAATGGCCATCTCAAGTCTGATGCCTCCTTAACAATGCTGTGTAAACCCTGGGACCCCAGCTCACATCTGGGGCTATTGTCCATTCATGGGATCACAGGGAGGTTATTCACTACTGGCGCCTTGGGTCTCACCGGTGTAGGGTGACTGGAACCAGACCACAAAGGGTTCCCTGGAAAATACATCTGTGTCTCCAGCCTGATAGTCATGGTAGAGGTAGCGTTTCTTCACAGACAGTAGCTTTTCCCTAGGGGAGAAAAAATAGGAAGCACTTCCAGCTGAGTCAGTTGACGTCTTCATTCAAGAAGCAGAGACATGGCTTCATTAGCCCCCCAGGCAGGCTCTTGCCCTGCAAGGGATCTTTCACCCGAGAACAAGGCTCCATCTACTCTTCTCCATGGCCACCCTTTGAAAGCTGGAGATCTGAGCAGTACCACTTATCTGGGGCACCCACAAGTTAATGTTCAGACTTAGAACAAATTACTGTAGGAAGAAGACAAAACTCTGAAGTTTCAGAGACAGCCATGCTGGGCAACTCAGGTTTCCATCCCTGGGCCAGGACTTGATGAGGGAGGATAAAGAACTCCTGACCCTCCTGACCAGGCAGTCACTGACTCAACCAACAAATTAGGTGTTAGGAAGCTGCTTGTACTCTTTAGTTTGAAGAGGTAACGCTTTGCTTCAGAGTCAATTTGACAGCAATTATTTTGATCAATATTGAGAACTGGTTAGAGGTCAACATTTGGTTTTGAAGAAAAGATAAGCATTTTGATTCAATTCACAGTCATCATTTATAAGTGAGCCACATTCCAGGAAGCATAGGCTATACTCACTTGTAGAGAAAGGCATACTGCTCTTTATATGTGTTTCTTCCAAGGCGAGAGCTAATCACATAGTTGTACATTGTGCCTTTTCTTGAATTTCTTGAATTTCTTGAATTTCTAAAATGCAGAGATTTTACATTATGCATCTTAAAAAATAAACATCCCCCTATTGCATGTTCCCCTATCTTCACTCTGTATCCATATCACCAATGGCATCATGGAGAAGGGTTACCTTTCATCATAACCTTGGGGTCTAATAAGAAGGGCCACCCACCATTGACTGGGAATGTGACATCTTCCAGGATCTTGACAGCCATTAACTCTTACCCTTAGAAGATGGGTACTGTTGTTACCCACCTTGTATAGTTTGCAGGTGCAGAGCTGGGATTTGAACTCAGATCCTACATACTCCAAATCCACACCCTTTGCCCTGCACCTGTGGGACATTATTGAGACCATAGAAGCTTCAGGCCAGAATCTGCTCCATATCTCACTCTGGCTCATGGCTGGGGCTGACCTCATACTTCCTGGTGGAGGAAACCTTATCAGGTCACCCCGTCCATGCACTACTGCTGAACATTTATCATATGCAGAATTCCTAGTAACGTTTTCATTGGACATTCACTCCTGCTCTGAAAACCCTCAAGCATTTTCTCACAAGTCCTAGAACTATGATTTCAGACCAGCTATTGTTTATGTTCTGGGGGCTGGCAATACAGATGTGAAGTCCCATTACCTCTACCCCTCATTTACACCAGGGAAACTTGACTCCCCATGTGTTTGCCAAACCTGCTGATAACTCACCCTGGGCAGCGCCTGGCATGGTCTAACCCATTTGCCCACAGAAAGATCTAGGGCATGTCTAAGCTATAGCATATTCTCAGGTTTAGTAGCAGAAGGAGCATATAGGGCCCAACCTAGGCCCTACAGAAATTCCTAGGACTTTAGGTACATATTCTTTTTTTTTTTTTTTAAGTTTATCTATCTTAAGAGAGAGAGAAAGAGAGAGAGAATCCTAAGCAGGCTCCTCGGTGTCAGTGCAGAGCCCAACTCGGGGCTTGATCCCACGAACCATGAGATCATGACCTGAACCGAAATCAAGAGTCAGACGTTTCACCAACTGAACCATCAAGGTGCCACTAGATACATATTCTAAGGCAGGTCTGGCTACTGGGGCCTGAGGAATGTGGACGTTGGATTCCACTGGGCTTCCAGTTTGGGAAAGTTGGCCTTGTTCTGAATCTAGCCTGCCAAATTTTGGGTTGGCAAAATGCTTGCCATGACTCAGCTGTGAGGTGACTAAGGCTCCTGTTGGCTTACGAGGGATAAGGGGACAAACAGGCCTGCTTCTGCCTGGAGTCAGTGGCATGGTCTAGGGGCCCTGGGACAACTGAGGCCAGTTGGGGTGGGAAGACTCAATCCAGGCTGGCTGTGGGGAGGGGCATAGAGCCCCTGTCCCCTCGTACTTCTGAAAACTGACCAGAGTCCCTCTAAGGAAAGCTCAGGAGGTTCAGAATAGAGCACCAGCTTTGGAGTCAGAAATGACCCAGGTTCAAAGGTAAGCTCCACGATTTACTGGCTGGGTGAACTTGGGCAAGTCCCTTCTCTCTGTTCCTCAGTTCCCTCAGCTATAAGGGAAACAGTAATAGTACCCACCCCACAAAGCTGTTGTGGGAGTGAATGAAATAGCACACGTAAATTGATTAACTGGATGCCTGGCATGTAGTTAGGGTACCGATGGCAGCTGTTACATGCGGCCCTCGGGACCATCATTTGCCACCATAATTTGCTTCCTTTTACTAGTAATAGACACCACCAGCCCTGACTGGTCACTGCTACAGACCAGGCACAGCCCAACCACTTATATGCAGGATTTAATCAGCACCACATTCCGGGAAGATGGGTTCCATTACCAGTCCCATTTTATACACAGGGAAAATGAGGTGCAAAGAGGGTGAGTAACTTGCCCAAAGTCATAGCAGAGTCAAAATCCAAACACAAGTGGTCTGAGTTGAGTGTAGGCGCCTGACCCTTGCACTAAACTCCCTTGTCCGTCATCAAAGATCAGATCTGGAAAGAGAAGAGCTGCTGAAGCTGAATGGAGAAGCTCAGCCCAACTCCATATTTCCAGATGAGAAAATGAGCCCCGGAGAAGGGGGAACCAGCCCAGAGGACCCTCTGTGTGAAGGAGAGTGTCCAAGATTTCCTCCCAGGCTGAATGAGGCTGGATTGACCATTCATTTACTTAAAAAATAATAATAATAACAGGGGCACCTGGGTGGCTCAGTTGGTTAAGTGTCCAACTTCGGTTCAAGTCATGATCTCACAGTTCGTAGGTTCGAGCCCCGTGTCAGGCTCTGTGCTAACAGCTCAGAGCTTGGAGCCTGCTTCGGATTCTGTGTCTCCCTCTCTCTCTGCCCCTGTCCTGCTTGCACTCTGTCTCTGTCTCTCAAAAAGTGAATAAACATTAAAAAAATATTTAAAAAAATAAAAATTTTAAGTTTATTTATTTATTTTGGGAGAGAGAGAGAGTGCACAGGAGGGGCAGAGAGAGAGGGAGAGAGACAGAGACTCCCAAGCAGGCTTTGCACTGTGACAGTGTGGAACCCAATGTGGGGCTGACACTCACAAACCGGGAGATCATGGTCTAAGCCGAAATCAAGAGTCAGTTGCCCAACCAATCGAGCCACCCCGGTGCCCCTTGAATATGCCTTTTTAACTCACATTGGGATGATTTTCAGGTGGGTGGGTTTGCTGATTATTCTTTGAGAAAGAATATAAATCACAAATATAATCCAACATAATTTAAAAATATTTGAGGACATTATCTTTTGGGGTTTTTTTTTTTGAAGTTGTAAAATCAGATTTTTGTAAGCTATTCAAATCATATAGAAATATATACAATAAAAAGTAAATATTCTGCATTTCTTCACTGACTGCCTCCACAATGGTCCTCCAATCACACCCACTCCCCTGGCCCAGAAGTAACCACTATTAATGGTTTGGGCACATTCTTCCAGTCTTTCCTCTAGGCTCATGCAAACTCAAACACATGCTTATTCATGTATAGGGTAATGTGATTACTAAAATGGGCTACTCTACCTACGGTTCTGAACCTGCTGTTTTCAATATACTGCAGCCATCTTTCCATACTGGAATATTTAGCTCTAAGCTATTCTGTAGTGATCATGATTTTTAATGGCTACATCATATTCCAGCCTGCGGGCATACCATAACTTCATATTTGCACTCAACCTTTTTTTTATAACGGTAGTTCTAAGCTCAGCCCCTTGTCTCTTTTGTTTCTCTCTCTGTCCTGGCTCCTCATCTGTTCCCTCTACTTTACTTTATCATATTAACACTAGCTGGTTGAAAGTTCTCAGGACTTTGGCTAATGGAGTTGGAAGTGTGGGCAGTGTTGGTCATGTGACTTGGTAGTCAGGGTGAGTGCTGGCTTTCACCCTTGGTTCAATTCCTCAGGCTTTTCAGGTGTCCTTGCAGTTGGCCTTGAGTCTGCAGAGGGTCTAGGAGCCCCGTCTTTACCCATTTAGTCTGTCCATCAGCATGGGACAGATAATGTTGTTGCTGTCCTTGATTTCCATCAGGAGTATGATATCACAGCGTTTGATGACCTGTGAAGACAGAATTCGCAGGTGTTTCAGGCCATTTACTGCAAGTAATAAAATCTTTTATTGGGCACTTACTATGTTTTAGGTATAGGATTGGTGCTTTGTTAAAGTAATGAATTTCATCACTGAAATAAGTGAAGAACTTTGTGAGGCAGGTCGTATTTTGATGTCTATTTTATTTGATTAAAATTTTTATTTTTAGGGGTGCCTTGGTGGCTCAGTCGGTAAGCATCCAACTTTGGCTCAGGTTGTGATCTCACGGTTCATGAGTTCAAGCCCTGCGTTGGGCTCTGTGCTGACAGCTCGGAACCTGGAGCCTGCTTCTGATTCTGTGTCTCCCTCTCTCTCTGCCCCTTCCCTGTTCATGTTCTGTCTCTCTCTGTCTCAAAAATAAAATAAAACATTAAAAATAATTTATTTTTAAGTAATCTCTACACCCAACGTGGGGATCGAACTCACCACTGACTGAGCCACTCAGGACCCCCCCCCCCACCTTTTAATGTTTATTTCTTTTCAGTTATGTCCGTTTTAAAGATAAGGAGCCTGGGGCTCCAGGAAAACCGAGTAAACTATCCAAAGTCACTCAGCTAGAAAATGGCCAAGGCAGAATGCAAATCTAGGCAATCTGAATCCAGAGCCTATGATCACGTGTCCTATATCTTGTTTTTTTTTTTGCTTGAATAATCACCATAATAATAATAATAATAATAATAAATATTTCTTAAGCTCTTAGTATGTGAGAGGTGCCAGTATGGATATGGGTCTCCCCAGTTCACCTGGCAACAAAATCATAATAATAAAAATTACAAGGGCTAACATTTATTGTGAGCCTACCATAAGCCTCACCAACACTGTGAGAGAACTATGATTATTGGCTCACTAACCTCAGGAGAAAACCAGGCTCAGAGTGTTTGAGTGGAAAGTTTGAAGTCACACAGCCAGTATAGATGGTAGAGTCAGGATTTGAATTCGGGTTCTTGTGACTACAAAGCCTACCATGCTGTTAAAACATCAGGGAGAGCTGGGTCCTGCCACCAAGCCAGCTTGCTGATTTAGTCACTGGTCTCTGTCAGACCTTTCTGGAAGGCACTTTAAAGTATGTATCGGGGCGCCTGGGTGGTGCAGTCGGTTAAGCGTCCGACTTCAGCCAGGTCACGATCTCACGGTCCGTGAGTTCGAGCCCCGCGTCGGGCTCTGGGCTGATGGCTCGGAGCCTGGAGCCTGTTTCCGATTCTGTGTCTCCCTTTCTCTCTGCCCCTCCCCCGTTCATGCTCTGTCTCTCTCTGTCCCAAAAATAAATAAAAACGTTGAAAAAAAAATTTAAAAATAAATAAATAAATAAATAAATAAAGTATGTATCAAAAGTCTTGGAGTATGTACTTACTCTTTGGCCTAGTTTTCCCCCTTTGAGGAAGGTCTTCTATTATAAAGAAATATCTACTACTTCTCTGCACCTCAGTTTCTTCATCTATAAATTGGAATGATGACAGTTATTCCCTCACAAGGTTGCTGGAGGATTAAATGGGTCCTTAGAACAGTGCTAGGCATTTGGAGCCACACACGAAATTATTATTGCTATTATTATTATTTGTACAGATCAAAGAGGAAGAGGCATTGTGCAATAGCACAACAAAAACTTGGAAACAACCTAAGTATCCCCAAATAGAAAAGCATTAAATGAAAGATGTTGTAAACATGGCATAGGACATTATGTAGCATTAAAAGTCATGTTTTAAAAGAATATTAACAACACGTGAAATACTTCCAATATAAAAGCAAAATACAAAACTGGTGATATAGGGCAGTCTCCATGCTGCAAAACAGATGCAGTTTTTAATTTTTTTTTTAACATTTATTTATTTTTGAGAGACAGAGAGAGACACAGTGTGAACGGGGGAGGGGCAGAGAGAGAGGGAGACACAGAATCCGAAGCCAGCTCACAGCTGACAGCTGTGAACACATGTTCAAGCCCACGAACCATGAGATCATGACCTGAGCTGAAGTTAGACGCTTAACCAACTGAGCCACCCAGGCACCCCCAGATGCAGTTTTATGTATTTATTTTTGCATAGAAAAATGCCCATAAAATGCCCTAAATGCCAATAGCTCTTATCTTCAAGTGATAGGGTAACAGCTGATATTTTTTTTCTTCTTTATATGCTTCTATATGTTCAAAGTAGTCCATAATGACCATTTTTAACTTAATAAAATTAAGTTAGAAATTAAAATTTTTTAACTTAAAAATGATACCTTTCTAATTTTAAAAAATTAAAGTGTTATTAAAAAAAGGAAACTGCTTGAGGATAAAGTAATTATGGGAGAGGAGATGATGGCCAATATTTATTAAGATATGACAGATGAGGGGCGCCTGGGTGGCTCAGTCAGTTAAGTGTCTGACT